AGGTGAATTACTCCTTTCTGTGTCACTTTTGTTCCGCCACAGTTTGGCTGCCACTGAGCAACCCTGGGTTAGAAATATATCCTGAGCGTTAAATAATGAGCTAAGTGGATTCATAACCTAAAGGAGAATAATCCTGCGTGGGTAGGATATGCCAGAGGATGCCAGCTCCATTATTTGCTAAGAAGGTTTCATCCACAGGCCAAACTCTGTGGCTTTGGTAGCTTGGTTTTGGTAAGGAAAGCAAATCCTGTAGATCTCATGGTGGTAGCTGGGAGCAGGGCTCGTAGACAGATACATTAATAGTCGTCGTGCTTAAGAAACACCACGTGGTGAGTCTGTTCCTCATGAGAAGCTGCCTACAGCTGAACACGAGTGTCTAGAGAACGTCGATGCTAGGTTTTCAGAAATGAACATTTTAACTTCTGCCACATTTAAACAAATCCCCTTAAAATGTCTGGGCTCTGTTTCCATACAGCGGAGCCTATTTGAAATGCCTCTGGCACTTCTCGCTCCGGCTGTCCCTAGAGAGCACGTCTTGGGATGTAACACAGGCCTCGAGAGCACTCTCGTTCTCGTTTGTGACTGTTTCTTTTCCCTTTGGCAGGTCTTTTGGGCCATTGGGACTGTGTTTGAAGTCCTTCTAGCAGTGTTGGTGATGCCCACTCTTGGCTGGCGGTGGCTTCTCATTCTTTCTGCCCTCCCGCTTTTGCTCTTCGCTGTCCTGTGTTTTGTAGGTATTCTTTCAAAGAGGAACGCATGTTCCATCAATCTACCGCTTCTCTATCTGGTTCTGTAACCTGGTTGAAGGAAATTGTGACAGTTTTGAGCTCTCTGTTGGTGTCTTCTTTGAAACATCTGAAATAACGAGAAAAATGCTCTTGTTTCAACAGGGTGCTGGTAAAAACATTCCAGTGAGAGCTGTGTTTATGTGACTGTAATTGCTGGAGGACAAGGGTGGGCTGGAATGTTGTGAAACCAAATCAGGCCTGGAAGCCTCTCCAATTTAACAAATTTGTTTCAACTAAGCTGAGTGGAATCAATGATTTATTAAAAGCTGTTGCTATTTCCCCGATTGCTCTTTAGATTTTTAAATTATTTTGTCAAAATAATAACTTTTATAATTACTGTCCACTTAAAAAATCTACCCAAATCAAGGGTAAAACCTGCACAGGGCAAGTCAGATTCTAAAACAAGACGTGTATGAGTTAAACTTGCGCTTCAGTGCACTCTGGGTAATAGATCTGCCAACCGCACAGCCTTCTCAAAGATACCTGTCCTTGTCAGGTTGTTTAGCAGCTCTTATTATTCCTTAGTCACTGATTGTTTTTCAGAAATACCTTCAGTTAGACAGGTGCTAACATGCCTGTTTTCAAAAGGAGCTTAAAAATGAATGTTTTGGAATGCCTAGAGCATCTTGTTGTCTGCCCTGGGTGCTTTGCCTTTCCTACTGAGCAGGTACAATGGAAAGAGCCTGCAAAAATGCCTGATTTGCCTCATTTCAAGAATGAAACCAAGATAAGAGAAGGGAAAGGTTTCAGGCTGGAGTTCTGACTTTATGGTGAAAGTGGGGGGGGGTGCAGTTTCTTAAAGCCTACTGAGGAGTTTGACATTTGGCAGAAGGCTGGTTCTCTGGGTTGTTAAAGATCAGTTCTGTAATCATTCCTCATGTGAGTAGGCTGCTGAGAGTTCCCACTGTAAGCCCACAAAGAAAATCCCCAGTGTGTTTATTGCTGCGGTTTTGACATTATCGTGCGTATGATCTGCTTTCTTCTCTTAGTGGCTGCCAGAAAGTGCCAGGTATGATGTATTATCTGGAAATCAAGAAAAAGCAATTGCCACTTTGAAGCGGATAGCAACAGAAAATGGAGCACCGATGCCTTTGGGAAAACTAATTATTTCCAGACAGGTACGTACAGGCAGCAGACACATTAACAACGTGGGATGCAATGAAACTGTGCTCCATTCCTCTGGTTTTTTATAAGCAAATAATCAATGTTAAGTTTAATTTTAATGTCTCAACCAGTAACAAAAAAAATAAGGGGCGATCATATATGCCTCTTTCACAGGGGGGGAAGAGTTAGTTTCTTGGTTTTAGTTACACGAAAACCCTGAAAGTGCGAAGGACCTTTAAAGTGGGCATTAATGTTATTTAACCTCACTCCGAGACCCTGTTATTACAGAAAATCAAACCTTGAGGCTACCGAAGACCTCAGATCAAAATTCCCAGATCTGAACTCATGAGACAAAGTGGAGTTTGACTCTTTAGCTGTACCTCACTTTTAATCTAATTCTGATTTTCTGGAGCAGGAAAACTGCAAGCTCCTATTCAGCCCTAACGCATGGAGTCGTTCAGGCTGTTACTTCTGAGCTCCATATCACTGTATGAATTGCATTGGATTCATTTTTATTTCAGCTTTATATGACCAACTTTCCAGCACCCCTGTCAGCATATAAAGCAGCTCTGCATTTACAGAACAAAAAGCAGACTTTTATAAGAAAAGGAAGTCACCAAGTCAGCCAGACCTGTAGGTTTGAACAGGGGCAAAACTGGAAAGCTGGGCAAGAGCCTGGTGGTCCTGACAGTGTCTTACTAATCAGAGATGGAGGTTTGATTTTCTAAGGTCTGGATCAGCGAGGATTTGAGCTCCTGTGCGTTGGTTCGTGCTTGGTTCAGTCCTGGTAATCTCGATGGGCTGTGCAGGAACGCTCTCCGAGTGTTGGGTGGCTTTGTTTTCAGGGTGGGGTGGGAAAGTCCTTTTCCTTGACCGCAAGTTTTATGGGCTGAGCCCTCCACGCTCTAAGAACCACACAGTTTGAAGGGGGTCTGCTTGCGGGAGGGCTGCTCATGGTTCCTCAGTACCTTACCCTGGAGCAGAAGCCCTGAGGGGCTGCTGTGATTTACGGGAGCTGGCTGTGGGCCACGTGAATCACATGCCGCCTGTGGACTGGCAAAGTTCTGCTCTGCCTCTTTCCAGCCCCGCCTTGTTCTGGCAGATCTCGTCTTCCTCGTGGGGGAGTAGTGTGCCCTGTACATGAACTGGGTTTGATACCATTATGCTCCTAGAGAATTCCCCTTGGCAGAGGAATTCCTTGCTTGGATCCCAGCTCCAGTGTGGCTCCTGCACCTGAAGAGCCCTAAGATGGAACGAAACACTCATCCTGAGATAGAGTACATCCACCGTGCATTGTATTGTCCCTTGCCACTCTGCCTCTCCAGGCCAGGACCATGAGTGCCCTGATCATCTGACTTCTGCTTGTTTTCCACAGGAAGACCGAGGAAAAATGAGGGACCTTTTTACGCCCCATTTTAGATGGACCACATTGTTACTCTGGTTTATATGGTAAGCAGAAATCTAAAAGGCTCAGTAAATGGTTTTTAATTGAGGTATTTTGCAGTATCACTAAAATACAGCAACTTCCTCCTCAAAAAAGAACCCCAACATGATTGATTTGCAATTTATTAAACCACCCAATCACTAGCGTTCTCAATCTAATTGCCCTTTCGTTTGCTAAACGCTGATAGGAAATAGCTTTGAGGTAGCACTTAGTGGAAGTCCTCACACAGTGGGTTCAATTTTGATTCATGTTGTTTACCGCAGGTTTGACGAGCTGAGACTTCCTCTCTCATTTTCTTCCCTGCAGGTTTTCCAATGCTTTTTCATATTATGGGTTAGTTTTATTAACTACAGAGTTCTTTCAAGCCGGAGACGTCTGCAGCAGTGAGTACTAGTCCATCTTTTCTTTTTAAATATACCCTGTCAAGTGGTGGAATATCTTTAATTAGATCACCTTCTGCTGTTAGTTTGGGAAGGACTGTGGCTGCCAGCCTGGATTTTAAGGCATCCACTTAAAGGGTTCCTTATTTTGAACGGTTTTGATAGACCGTTCCCTGTCTCCTGCACAATGCAGAGAGGTCCTGCAGTGTCTCTGAGCCCAAAATGTAAAACAGCAAGGCAACCTTCAAGGGAGACCTGTTAGAAAAAGTGACTGTACTTCTTGAGAAAAAAAGTGGTTGAATAAATGTAATTTTCCAGATTTGACAGGCCTAATTAGTCCTGAGATAGAGGGAACTGCTGCTGCTGCAGAGCTCCCAGGTTCTCCAGATGTGAAGGCCTGCTGAGAAAAAAGATAATGGTGGGAAACCATCGCCCTTTTTGTTGCAGATTTTTACTTTTTTTTTTTAAAAAAAAAGTGCTTTGACCACAACAAGAAGAGGCTTCAAAAGTTTGGTTTCCCAGGGGAGGCATGATTGTATTCAGAACACTTGTAATTAGTGAAAACTGTCTGATAGTTGGAAAATTATAGAAAGAAGATGGGTAACATTGGGTGAAAACACAGACCCCCAGGTTTACAGCAGTGTATTAACTATTTGAGAGGCCTGGCTCTGGTTGGGGTAACATTGGGTGAAAACACAGACCCCCAGCTTTTACAGCAGTGTATTAACTATTTGAGAGGTCTGGCTTTGGTTAACCTCCACAAAGGAGCACGCATGCTTTAAAAATACTTGTTTTTACAGAGACATGGTATTATTCAGTCTTCTCAAAGCACAGATGAAGTGTTAGTATCCAAATTTATGGAGGGAGGAACTGAATTATTGATGTTAATTCTGCTCACTGTCCATCAGCCCTGGACTGAAAAATAGCCAAGCCTGTACAGCGGATAATGCAAATTGTCATTCTGATAGTGATGGCTGCCGAGTAAGACACCCTGCCAGAAATAAGGTTATAAACTGTGGTTTCAGCTGTATCCTCCAGGTAGAACATCCCTGCTCTGCGGCAGGCTCTTTTCAGCACATCCCTGCTATCAGTTTCAGCAGCAAGAGTGATAAAGGCATAGCAGGGGTAAAGGAAGGTAAGCAGAGATCACCTAAAATACATTAAACATTTGGGTGTTTTTTTCTTTTTCCTCCCGCAGTATCCAGTAGAAGGAAAGAAGTTAAAGCAAAGTGCAGCCTGACCTGTGAGTATCTGACAGAGGAAGACTACACTGATCTGCTCTGGACAACCCTGTCAGAATTCCCTGGTGAGTGGCAGTAAGAAGCACCCGCTCTTCGCTGGCAGCACTCAGTGTGGTCGGAACGGGCGCTGGTACGAGCAATGAAACGGGCTCTTCCGTCTGGCCTAGTGCCCACGCGTTTCCCGCAGCACTGGAGCTCCTTGCTTGGGCTGCTTGATGTAGGCAGTGCACCCAGCAGCTGTAGCTCTCTTCACTGTCCGTGTGATCACTACAGAGAAAATCGCTAGTAATGGCTTCGTGCAGCTATAATGGCCCATCTGGGTATGGATTCTGTCCAAGCAACGTATTAGGCACTCAGAGGAAGAGTAACAATTAAATCAGAGAGGCAGAATCACTTGAACTCTTATCCATAAATGACTTTCCAGAACTGTTTTAAAAGGATCGTGAGTGCAGCGAGTCAATGAAGAACTTGCTCCCTAAAGCTCTGTGTCCAGCCTCAGTCACGATTTCCAGTCCATTTCAGTGAATTTCAATGATCAGTCTGACATAGGACAAGCAAGGCAGTGTGTAATAGCCAGTTTCTTCAGCTGTAGGTGAGCTCTCAGTGTTAATCTGCTTGAAATAATACTGTGAGGCAACCATCAGGTTATTTTCGCTGCTCTAGATTGTAACTTCAGAGACAAATGCTCAGAGAAGCCATTTAATGGGTGAAAAGTTGTAAATCTATGACTGATAAACATGCGCAGTCTCTACCTAACAGGAGGACTGTCCTGCATAACAGTCATTCTGGGAAGGATGTCCGTGGGCAGTGGACAGAAAAGGGAGTCACTCTTGGAGTGATGCTGTAGCTGCAAGCCCTGGTTTGATCCTGACACCTATAAGGTTGGAGAAAGAAATATTAACAGGGATATCTCTGGGTATGACACTGGCAACGCTGATGCCTGAATTAGCCCCACCCTGCTGTACGTCAGCTTTTAAAAGGGTCTGGAAAAGTTGCGTGAAAGAGAGCACTTAACACTGTGAGACCCACCGAGCTTGATCTGTTCCCTTTATCAAAGAGCAGGTGAGCAATCACTTGATGGCAGCGTATAAATAACACAACGGAAAGAAAATGCCAAGTTCTCGAGAGCCCTTAGATCGAGCCGTGGGGAGCTTAGCAGGGAGCAATGGCCAGGAGTTGGACAACAGATATCCCAGTGAGACACGGGGCCGGCATCCTTAGCAGTTCCGTCGGGAACCACTGCAGGAATCGGTGGTTAACAGCTGTCGGGGTCGGTTGCTCACTCCTACGTCAGTGTGTAGCCCCTGAGTGTGGCGGCGTGTGGATGTGTGGACCAGTGGGGCTGTGAACATGGAGCAAGGCTCACCAGCTGGGACACAGAGCTGCTGTTTCCACGTGGCACCGATGGCTGGGACAATCCGTTCTACCCCCCTGCCCGATGCCTCTGCCAGCAAAGTATTTTAAGCAAAGAGAGAACAAAATTTCAAACCTAAACAACCCAGCCTACGTTAAGGGCTAGCTGCTGCAGGCTCCACCTTTGCTCCATTCCTAACAGCCAGCTTGTCTCCTCCTACAGGTGTGTTAGTAACACTATGGATTATTGATCGGATAGGCCGCAAGAAAACCATGGCCCTGTCCTTTTTTGTCTTCTCGTTTTGCAGTCTTCTGCTGTTTCTCTGCGTTGGAAGGTAAGTGAAACACAGTGAGCAATGGTATGTCTGATTCATCCATGTCCTCTCTTGATTGTGGCAGGAGAACTGGAAGTGGCCATGAAATGGTCGTGCTCAACTGGCGAAGGAATTAAGGATGGTGTTAGGTTTTCTCACCAGGGTTTGGAAGGAAAGTCAAAGCAGCAGGAGAGGAGAAATCCTTTACTATAATCTTGCAGACAGAGCCATCCAAAGGGGAAAATAAGAGCTTATGTCTGAGTAGGAGGTAACCGTTAGACCATTTTTAGATCAGACCTGATGTCATGAGCCTCGGTAGCTGGTTCCCGTGCTGCTCTCTGCCGTTCATTACCTGGGTTACCCCGGCTGACTGCGCCAGGGCAGTGCTTCACAACCCAGCCTGGTCACTGCCCCCCGTTCAGCTGCTCTGACTGCTTCGCTGGTCAGGGGCTCGCGGTCGTCTAAGTGCCGTGGCACAGCTGCGTGGGGAGCAACAGACGCAGCCTGGCACCACCTCCAAGTCGTGTACAGCGTGGCTGGAGGGGCTGGGTGCTGCCATCGCAGCTACGTGGGGCCCGGCTTTCGGAAGCACTTGGGTTCACGTTTTTGTTTCGATCAGTGTCGGTCCTTCACGCAGGTTTTCCAAAGAACGGCTCAGCTGGCAGCTCTGCCCTTGAGCCTTGACGGTACCAAATTTCCAGCCGAGCTCTGTGTCTGCCTCTGACTGCAGCTGGCCTCCGTGCCACACGCATGGGACAATGTCCGTGCCTTGGGGCTGACCTAGGAAAGGCCCTACCAGCCAGAGGAGAGCTCTCTGCTTTTAAACCTTTCCAGGCACTGTGCAAAACCTCACCATACAGAAACCTTGTAGTAAGAAACCTTACCAAGCTGCGAATATCCAAGTGGTACGAGGGTTCATGGCTTTTAGACAGGAAAGTTGCGCTCCCCTTTCCTTCTCACACGTGCCATTTTTTGGTTAGCACCGTTCATAACATGGAATATATTTGTCGTGTTTAGATAAGCGTAGGCATTCGCCGCTTCTTTCCATGGGCACAGCTGTCAGAATGAATGCACGTAGAAAACTGATGTGGTTGTGGGAACGCAGATTGTTTGGCATCGTTGTTGTAGTAAAGGTCCAGCAAAAGTACAAAGGGTTCATTAAAAAACAAAAGAAATCGTTCTAACAAAATTTAGCATTTTTATTGCACTTGCCTCCAAGTTAAACAAACAGATTGTACAGAACAATCCCAAACACTGCTCTCCTTTTTATTCTCACAGAAATGTTCTTACTGTGCTGCTCTTCATTGCAAGAGCTTTTATTTCAGGAGGATTTCAAGCTGCTTATGTTTACACTCCTGAGGTAAGGAGGTTGTTTTTGTCGTGAGAATTTACGGGGAGTGAGAACATGGTGGGAAAGTCATTTGTATGAGCTCTTCACAATGGACCTTACCCCAGATATGAGTTGATGATCTCATTGTCACTGTCAGGCACAACTTGCTGTAGCACCTCTTACTAATTTCCATTGATTTAGGAGACTGGAGGGAAGAGAACTTCCCAGTAGGGTTAACGGGCTGATGCTTTGTTCACAGGTTTATCCAACAGCGACCCGTGCTTTGGGCCTGGGGACATGCAGCGGAATGGCTAGAGTGGGAGCCCTCATAACCCCGTTCATTGCCCAGGTGAAATCCCTTCTCCTTCCGCGACTGAGGGCGCGGGAAGGTGACGCAGAACCTGCTTTTCCCTGGAAGGGCCGAACCAAGGGCAGTCTGTGCATGATGTGTTGAAGGAGGGTTGTCGTTGCCTGTTCCTTGAGGAGAGTTCAGGCTCACCTCTTAATTTACCTCTTGCTCCAGAGCTCCATGAGGTGGGGGATAAACAACCAAGCAGCAGGCTGCCTCATGGATCTAAGGACACCTTGGAAGCCACCCCCTGGAGATGGGAATGGCGAGAGGCAGGGAGTCTGTGTGTGTGGTGCAGTGCCACCTTTCTCTTGAGATCCCAGGCTGAGGTCCTGGGGGCTACGAACCTTCAGGGCGTGTGGACGGAGCTCGACAGGGAGGTCGGGGAGCGAGGCCCCGCGGGGACAGGACTCAGAAGGCTGTGTCAGAAGGGGTGGCTCTGCAGGGGGCTGGGTGGAAAACTTGTGATTTCCTTAAGTCCTGATTAATGCGTAAGGGCAGCAGCACCTCAGGGGCCCTGTAATCCAGACTGGTTTGTCGGTGTTTCAGAGCTATGTGTCATCTCTGAGGAGAGAAAGCACGCAGCAGCGCACGCAGACCTTTTTTTCCAACACTGTAATTAAAATTTCTGCCATTACCTTAGCATCTCTATTTCTTTCTGTGCTGAGGCCCAGGGGTGCGATTTTGTGCTTTCTGCCTTTTTTTTTCTGCAGGTGATGTTGGAATCTTCAGTCTATTTAACGCTGGCGGTTTACAGTGGATGCTGCCTGCTGGCCGCTGTGGCTTCCTGCTTCTTGCCCATCGAAACAAAAGGTCGTGGCTTACAGGAGTCCAGCCACAAAGAATGGGGACAGGAGATGGTTGGGAGAGGATCTCATTCCCCAGGGGTCACCAGGTCAAACTCCGGCTCACAGGAATGATGAGACATGAAAACCCGCTGGAAGGATGAACGACACGAGCAAGATCTCTTTCACAAACCATCCACCCCTGAAGCATAGAACGCTGACCATACCGTCACTGCCAACGTCGTGTGTCGAACTGCAGGAACTTTTGGGTTGAACCCAAGCAAATTGTGTCTCTGCTGCTCTTTGCTCACATTCATAAAAACTTTACTTCTGTATTGAGAGGCGTTTGATCCAGATATCCGTTGAAGTTTAGCAGGAAGGGTTTTTCTTAAGTCTGTTGTGCTTGCATGGTCGGCAATTCAGCTTAAAATGTCCCGTGTCAAGCAAATAGCTAACTGAATGCAACTCAGTATAAGCTGTAATTAAAATAATGTACTCCTGATGCCTAAGAACAAAAGATTAATATTTATTGTGTACCTGGCATAGCACACGGTGGATTCCATTCACTACAGAGTAGGTTTTACGAATTAGATGCCTGCCTTGCACTTTTTAGCCATCAACAACAAGAACAAAATGTGATAACGGCAAATGAACCGATGCTTTCTGGTTCCCTTGCTTACGGGTTCTGTTCCTTGAGGAGAATTACAGGCGCTGCTTGCTTGGAATGGATTTTCTGAATGTTCCTCCCATCCGAGGCAGGTAGTTTGAGTCAGTGAGGAGTGGTATTTCTTGCAGACGTGGAACCTTACGTAAGAAATGTAAATCCTGATGGTCTGGAGCAGAACTTGACTTCCTCTAACGTCGCCAGAATCGTTGAGCACTCTGTCTGTTGCTTGGTGAAGACTCCCTCGGCTGCACCGCTGTCTGGGTGTGGGGAGATGGACGCTGTGGTTTTCTGCGTGGCTCCAGGTATTTTTCCGCTCGGTTCACCCACGTGTGTCCTCGCGGTGGTGCAGCCCAGCCCTTTGATAAATGCCTCCGTCCGAAGAGCTGCGCGTAGCTGTCGGGGCGGAGCTGCTTTCGGGCGTCTCCCAGCACACGCTGGCTTCCTGACAGCTTGGGCAGAGCTCGGGGTAGCTGCTGATTGCACAGTGACGGCGACGCCAAGCTGGTGACGAGGGGATGCAGGCGGCCTCGTGTCGTAAATGAACAAAAGCCACGAGCAGAGCCGAACTGCGCCCGTCCGGAGGTGAGAAACTTCACTCCTTCAGACGTCGTTCCTCGAGGCTGACGATCCTGCTCTTGTCAGAGAACGTTACAGAGTTCAGGGGAGGGTGAATTTGTCTGGTTCGTCAGAAACCTGTCACTGCGCAGCAAGTCAGACGCCAGAGCCTGTGGATGTGCAGCGAGGAAACGCGTAAGGAAGCGGAAACACGTCTCATCCACGTCTCGGCCTGTTTTCAGGATTCCAGACTGTGGAAACACACAACCAAATGTGAGATGGACCCAGTGCTAGTCACTGGGCTGTGGGAAGCAATACACTTGGTAGTACGTGCAGTCAGTTGTCTCACGTGAACACAGGTAAGGATGCAACAAATTTTTGCACAGTAGACTATTTTAAGCATTCTGGGAACAGGCCCCTTTTCTGTGGGGCAGGAACAAAGCACCGAGTTCACGGTGGGGTGCAGTACAAAGGAACGCAGCCGGGGTTCAGCTGTCACTTCGGGTTTTCCAGCCCTGTAGAGCAGTCCTTTTGTTTATAGCACCAACGGAAAATTAGAGGTGGATAATTCCTAAAAGAATCCAAGGAAACTCAGAGTAATAAAGGGCCAAAGAGGTTGTTGATATTCTGTGTGGGGGTATCTTCTGCTGCGGAAAGTTAGGGCTGGACAAGGCACCGAAGTGTCTGGCCACTCGACGATGGTGACCATGACGGAAGACCCCAGAAGCACTTGGTCTGAACCTTCCTTTTCACAGTGACACGAGAACGCAGCTCGGCTCACCGGGGATCCCACTTCAGGTGTGGCTGATGACGCAGAAACACACGGTCTGCTCCGGCGGCGGTTGCTGTGCACCGGTTGGGTTATCCCTGTCTCTCCCCCGTGTGCTCAGGCTCCAGCAAGCTCAAGTTCTGGTCATCACCAACAAGCAGACAGGGCTCTCGCGGCGCTGATGACCTTGCCAATAATTGGGTTTCGCCTCCTTCTGTCAGGCTGTAGTTGGATAATTCTCCCTAATGCAACAGGGGCAGCTCAGTGCTGCCTCGAGGCAGAGGTAGATGGACTTGCTTCCCTCGGGCTGCCCCTGCGGCGTGCGAGAGACGGGCAGGACGCCGGCAGCGAGGAAGTAAAGTTCCTGGGTGGGTTTAGAGCAGATTTTAGACCACACATGTCACCAACGAGCCAGAAAACCTGCTTTGCCAGTACGTCGCGAGGACTGCTCGCCCTCCGATGGCAGTGTGCCTACCCTCCTCTTCCTCTTGTGGGTGCAGGCGCTTGGGAGCGTGCCAGCCTGCTGCTGAGGCCAGGCCAGACGCTTACGTGGGCTCATCGTTCGCTGTGTTTCCAGTTCGGTGTGCGCCCCAGAGCTGGATGGCCTCTGGGAGGGTCGAGAGGGTGTAAGAGTCGAGTAAGCGGTGAGGAGGAGCACAACGCGCGTGACGCCCAGGGCCTGCAGGAATG